TGATGAAGACGAGTGGTCATTTTACAAGTTCATGAACATTTTCAAAAAGCAGTCTACAGAAACGTAGACCTGCTTTAATACCACACTGTAATGCCCCAAAGATTTTTAAAGAAAATTCTAGACTTTTCCAAAAATCAAGGTTAAATTTTCTAAAATCATTTTTCAATTTTAAACACATAATGGCATTACTCACATCATCATCATATAAAGTTCAAATCATATTAGAGCCCACGGGAACCCATTGCCCAATTTATCACATTACAAGCATACGAGATCAACATCATCATAAAAATCCCGATTCATTAGTTAATCCGAAACATAATCATCATATCATCATGTTCCGAACCAGTTCATCAAGTTCAACACCTCATCATAAAGTTCAAAACATCATCATGTTCAAAACTAGTTCATCATGTTTGAAAATCCCAAAACAAGTTCAACAATTCATAGCGGAAGCATAAATAATGCATAACACATATATCCAGATAATAACATATAGTATGGTCGCAGCATGAACATGAATCAATCATAATATTACATCTCGAAATCATCATATAATACTCATGTGCACATCTATAAAATCCACTGAAGTTCGAAACCGCACACACCAATGGGAGTACATGCCGAAGATCGAACCGCACACAACGACAAGGCCTATCATTAGGCTAAGGGAGACTGCCTATCATTAGGCACCGCCGAAGGTCGAAACTGCACTCGACGACGGGGATAACCGTTTCAAAGGTCGAGACCGCACACATCGAAGGTTACATGGTTCACACGCATACAATGATCATACCATCTATCAATTATAAAAAATTATGGCATAGAAATTTAATAACATCCACTTGGTCAATTAGGCAGTCAGAAAAGCTCGGACTGCAGAGTAGGTTGGGAGCTCAGCTCTTTGGACACCTATATTTAATCAAGATAATCTTCATAAATATATTATCTTGACCCTTAGAAAAATTTACGAGAATTCATACTTAGTCGAATATTATCAACTAAGTGGTTCGTGGAACTCTGTGGAATTTGGAACTCTTGGATTTGAAGGAAAGACTTGGAAAAATCATTTAAAGTAAACACAATAAATTGACTTGGCATGAAAAACAAGGTCAACGGGTCAAAAATAAGTCAAATGGTTCGGGAAAAACTAAAATCGGTTCGACGCCGCTCAGCACGGGGGCGAGCTAGCTTGCTGGCACGGGCTGAGCGCGTACCAGGTTCAGCTAGGCTGGTTCGGGCACTGCTGGGCTCGCCTGGTACACCTGGGCGCTGCTGGACGCGAGCTCATGGCAGTTGGGCGCATCTGGGCACGGGCAGATGGCTGCTGGACTAGCCTGGGCGCGTGCCGGTGCAGGGTATGGCCACTGGACGCGGGTGTTGACCGCTGGTCAGCTGCGGGTGACATGGGGAGACGCGGGCAGCACGGGAACACGCGGTCGAGGTGCGGAGAGGCGTGCTGATGAAGGGTCGTGTGTTGCGTCTAGCTCGACTCGCTCGAAACCCGCGCCGACACCTTGGTCCCTTGGCGTTAGGTTGCTAATATGCGCGTCGACGCCTTTGTACTTCGCGATAAATGTGACGAAACTCGAATGTCGGTCCTATTCCAATCACTGTGATGAAACGTGGATGGTGGTCCTATTTCTATCACGAACTCTATGTAAACTCACGAGAAAACACACGACAACTTTGAACACAATGTTCGACTTTTCTATTCACTCATCAACCATAATTTCGAATGGTACATAGGTGGGTATTTATAGATACCAAATAGATCTAATCCTAGTCTAAATAGAACTCCTAAATCATGCAAGTAAATAAATCCTAATGCACTAAACATCTTGGGAATAAAGACTTTCCTAACAATTAAAAGACTAATAGGCACATGCCTTTTATTTGGACTCTTAACCAAACTAATACTTCTATCTATGCTAAGTAAATCACGTAAATCACGCCCAAATCCTTTGCTTGCCCCCCAAGTCGTCGCGCGCCAAAACTCTAGCCACCCGTGCATTCGCACCGCCCGCTAGTCCTGGCCACGCTAGGCATCGCCCGTGTCCCAGCCGCACGCGCGCGCCCTTCCTGCGTCGCGTCTTCGCGCCCCAGCGTCTGTGCGTGTTCGTCCCTCGCGCGAGTGTCGCGCACGCCTGTCCGCTCGGCGTCCCTCTCTCGCTCGCCCATCGCTCCCCGCGCGTTCTTGCCACCTGCGCGGTTGTCGCACACGCCCGCCCCGTCGACCTCATCGTCCCACTCGACCAGCACCTCGCGCGTGACTCCCATCACCGTGCCCCGCTAGCGCCCGCTCATCGGGCCTGTCGCAACATCCCAATCCACTCGCGCGTCCCCGCCATCGCAGTCGTCCCAAGTGAATGCTGTCCACCCTACATCCTCCCCTCGTGCACCATTTGCCTTAGCCCGTATACGCCGTGCACGTCTATCTCTCGCGCACGCCTTGCACCAGTCGCCCACCTTCCCGGGCACTACCTTCTCACTCTCGTCGTCGGCCCAAGCCTCATGTTCTCGCGCACTTCCCGTTGCACACCTCTTCTTCACTTGGCCTAGACTCGCACGCCTTGCGGCTCGGTTGCCGCGTCCCGTCGGTACGCGCGCCCTAGTGCGTGCGCACACCCTTCTAGCACGTCCTCGAGCCCTTTCTCGCCTAACCTCTCGCCAATTTTTGAGGCCATCATGGATATCGTCCTCGGGCTCGGCTGGGTCAATGACCACATCTTCATCACGTGCATGCAACGCGGGAAGTCACGCGGGTGACATGCGGACGGGCTCGGTGAGGCGTGCGGGTGACGCTGGGCTACCGCGCGGGCGACTGCTGCGGGCCTTAGCACATCTCTGCGGGCATTCGCCCCCGCGCGCGCCTCTGCTGTGCGTCGGGTGCGGCATCCCTGCCCGCATGCTGGGCACCTTCCAATAGCACCTGCTGAGGCCCTGGTCCACTGGCAGCCACACATCTCAACCGATCTATTTGGAGTTTGGCTCGGGTCATTTCAATGAAATTTTTACCAGATCAAATACACTCAATGAAGGGCCAGAATACAAAAGTTGGCCCCTTAAACATAACCCTAACACATAGAACGAATTTTTGCAATAGAAAGAGAAAAATGAAGGGTTTTTAGTTTAATAAGCTAGGCTTGGAGTTTCAATAAAAATTTAACAGCTAGCTAGACATCATATAAGACTTCAAGCCTCAGAGTATCAAGTCATTTGGATGAGGGAATTATTAAGTTTAAAGCCAATAACATCATGCAATTGATCGGGTAGCTACAGATCGAATTTAAATCTGAAATTTTAACACCATTAACCTCAACATAGCTAGATCTTACCCTTAAAATTTCAGCCAAAAAGGACGAGAACTCGATTTATCATCATTTTTGCAAGTTTCAGAGACAACATAGACTTCAAAAAATTTCAAAAGGCATCAAAATTTAGTAAAATCGACCTAGGGCTTTCATATCAACCCAAGGACGACCGAAGGTTCCATATTTCCACAGGAAATCCGAGATCTATCAATTCCTTCATAAAATTAAATAAATCTCAACATAAAACAAATAGATCCAATCCAAATTCAAGTGGATCAATCACAAATCATGCTATAGAACACAACCAGAGGGGATCAACCATCACATACCGTACACCTTATGAATCTACAAGACAATCTGACTAAAGGGCTAGATGGGGGTTGATGTGCGCGTATACGGCGACTCGACGGCTGGCGCTCGACTCGTCACGTGGGTGGGCTGCAGCGGATGCACCACTAGGTTGAGGGTCGCGGATCGTTGCTGAAGTGAGGTGGTGTACGGCCGTCGCGGGCTGCTGATCGGTTGTGCGATGACGACAGGCAGCAGCGATGGGTGGTGCGCGCGGGGGAGGCCGCACAACAGGGCTGCGTTGGGTGCTGCACGGCAGTGGCTGCGACCGAGAAAAGGGAAGGGTGGCGAGGGAGATTGATGGCTTCTGCTCTGGTTTGGACGTGTTTTAAGAGGAGAGGGTTTCTGAAAATAATGCTAAGGGCGAAGGTTATAAAGAGAGAAGAAATATTCCAACGATGAGGATTTTAAGGGATCCTATAGGGCTTCTCTTACCAAAAACATAGCACAAAAAAAAAAAAAAAGANTCGTAGGACCTGGTCCAAGGTTTCCAAAAATATTGCCACTCTCATTCGAATTATAAATTAAAAATTTAGTCCAAACGTTCTGCATGGAGCGGTTCTTCCTCTTGCATTGGCCGGTTTAGTCGACATGGGCCGAAATTAGGGCTCAACATGGCCATGTCACAAGTTCGCAAGTATTAGGAATAGGTTCGGGCGAACATATTTCGGAAACGGGTCGAAAAAAATCGAATTCAGTTTACGCGATTAAACCGAAAATTTTCCGAACGACGAATGATTTATAAAAATATAATCGACATTCATATGCATATAATATTAGAGTACTACCTTAATTAAGCAAATAAGGCATAGAATAAAATAGATGATTGCCGATAATTAAAATAATCCGAGATATAGAATAAATCCGAAAAATTCTATAAATCGAACGGGACACTACAGAGCTGGTGGCGGGCGAGACGTACGAGTGGGGGTCATTTTACTAGTTTTTTATTATTTGCAATTGCTTCCGTTGAACTTATGTTCTCTGATAAACTTGGTTTTGAAGTTTGAACATGTTGATGTCATGTTTTGGATTATTTATGATTACGAGATTATGGTTATGATTTGGTGTTTATCTTGTATGCATGTGATGTGATTCGGGCAATGAGATCCCAAAGGCTCAAATATGACTTGAGCTACTTATGTGAATATTTTGAGTAACGCCATTAAATGTTTGAAATCGAAAAATGAATTTCGAAAAATTAATCGTGATTTTTAAAAAAATCCCTAATTTTCTTTAAAAATTATTGGGGCGTTACACGTTTCATCNNNTTGAAAAAGCTTTGGATTTATCATATGTTTTATTTTATTTCTTTTACTATATAAGATTAATTAAAGTGAAAAGTGTCGTCTCTGGCAGTATTGAAATTTGAAAACAGACGGAAGCAGGATCCAACAGAAAGCAACGCAAACCAATGGCGCCCACTCTTTTCTCCCATCTCCAAACATATCTTTCACTTGTACTGCTATAAATCTCCTTTTCTATGGAATAAAAATTCCGATTCAATTGCAGGAAACAATATGTCGTCGGCCGGAAAATACAGTTTCACAAAATGCACCGTCATTTTCTCTTTTCTATGCCTTCTCGCCATCGCTACCACGCTCCATTTCCACTGGGCATCACTTTCTTCCGTCTACTTATCATCCATCGCATCCACACAGAAAAACCACGTCGTTTTGGTCCCCAGATCTGCCAATGTAAACCAACCACAGATAGAGGTCGGGTTTCTTTTTTCCATACTCTTAGTTAGCCTTTATTTCTTTGAATAATTAATAATGTGATCGAGAGAAACCGTACATTTGATCTAATTCTTGCCTGTTTCGAACTATTGTCGCTTAGGCTAGTTTCACGCGTGTTTTCCCTTTTTCTTTAGTGTTATATTGTGGTTTGATGCGGGAAAATTAAAGGACATTGATGTGATATGATTTTCAGCCTCCAGATAATGAGCAAGTGCACAACAATGTGAACCATATGCCTGAACGGGTATTATCAGCTACGTTTGCGGATTTATCCGCACCAGAATTGAACTGGGAGCAAATGCCTACAGCTCCAGTGCCGCGTTTGGATGGTTCAGCGGTCCAGATCAAGAATCTTCTATATGTTTTCTCAGGATATGGAACCCTCGACTATGTAAGGCTTTCCAACTTACTCTGTTTCCCATCATAACAGCCATCATTGAAGATTTAAAATGTGTTTTTAATGGCTGTGAATTTGGGTTGTAAGGTACACTCACATGTTGATATCTACAACTTCACCGATAACACGTGGAGCGGTAGATTCGACACTCCGAAAGAAATGGCGAATTCTCATCTGGGAATGGCGTGTGATGGGCGATATGTGTATATAGTGTCTGGTCAGTATGGGCCCCAGTGTAGGGCTCCCACGACTCGTTCGTTCGTTCTCGATACCAAGACAAGAAAGTGGAAGGACTTCCTATCATTACCTAGTCCAAGGTGTTTCCCTAGTCTAGTATTATTTCATTACATAAGAATATATATCTTGGGGTTTGTCCTAATTTTCCCAAAGATGAAGACGAAGAGAAAAGGGAGCTAAACAGTTTAGTTTAGGTTCTATTTTGCCGGATATTTACTCCTTTCATGAGAAAAAAAGCATCTAAAAACTTCCCTCTCACATTTGTAAAGATATGACAAGTAGTCCCTTATTTAAACCCATGAATGGAAGGAACTTCGGGGTATGTTGCAATATGTATATTGTTGTAATGTAATAGCTTAAATCCTAAACAAGAGAAAGCTATTTCAATTTTCAGGTATGCTGCAGCAACTCAAATCTGGAAGGGAAGATTGCATGTAATGGGTGGGAGCAAAGAGAATCGGCACACGCCTGGCACAGATCATTGGAGCATTGCAGTGAAGAATGGTAAAGCACTCGAAAATCAATGGCGGACAGAAACCCCTATACCTCGAGGAGGCCCTCACAGGTGGGGATGAATTTGAATTATCTACATTCGGTTTACTGTAAATGTTTACAGTATTGCACTATCATTCTAACTTTGGCCCTTGTTTTTTTTTTTTTTTTTTTTCNTCTTCTTTTGCTCTTATAGGGCTTGTGTTGCTGTTGGTGATAGGCTTTTTGTAATTGGGGGTCAAGAGGGTGATTTCATGGCCAAACCGGGCTCGCCAATCTTCAAATGCTCAAGGAGGCATGAGGTGCGTGCGTGATTAAGGCTGTGTTTGTTAAGGGCGTGATTGTATATAATTTGTACAGTAAATATCCACTCAAAACTCAAATTTAACTCAACTTTAACTCAAACCTACTATCTCCAATATTATCAATATAATTAAATAATATCAACCAATCATTATTATACATTACATCAACTTTAATTCACTATTCACCCACTCACATAATTTTAACTAACCATCACTTCCAATCATTTTCTCTTATTTTTACATCAAATCAACTTTAATTATTTTAATTTAAACATTGTTTTAATATATCTACTAACAACTAACCATACTACTTTTTTTTCAAACTTAACTATAGTTAGAAAAAAATTAGTTTTTTACTAGTTGAATTCATATCCAATCATCCCCTAAAGGATTCACTCAAACCAAATAAATTCTACTCAAAATATAACTCAACTTTAATTCAACCCCACTATCCTCAATATAATTAAATAATAACACTACCAATCATTAAATAATAACAACCAATCACTTTTACACATCATATCAACTTTAATTCACTATTCATCCACTCACATAATTTTAACTGACCATCACATCATATTATCTCTCTCTTACTTTTACATAAAACAAATTTTGATTATTTTATTTTAAATATTATTTTAATATAAACTCAAAATTCCACTAACAACTAACTACACCACTTTTTCTAAATTAACCCTAGTTAACTAAAATAATTTACTTTGAATTAATTCACTCCAATTACTCCTTTAATATAGCCCATTTTGTATTGGAAGTCTTATTTTGAGTTGATGTAATGTATCTCAGGTGGTCTATGGGGATGTTTATATGCTGGATGTGGAGAATAAGTGGAAAGTATTGGCCCCCATGCCCAAACCAGACTCTCACATAGAATCCTCTTGGATACTACATAACAACTCCATCATCATTATGGGAGGCACCACAGAGAAAAACCCAGTCACCAAAAGGATGATATTGGTTGGGGAGGTCTTCCAGTTACACTTGAACACACTGGTATTGATTGAGTCACTGACCACAAATTTATATCACATTTCTTTGCCTTCTTTCACACCTGATAAATACAAAAGTTACCTTAAGTTTTACTGCATGTACGAAAGATCTTGCTCATTTTTACAATTACAAAAATCGCTACTGAGGTGAAATTCCCCTTGTAGTTTGTGCCTAACCAATTACAAACCAGTTCTTTATTTGCTACTTGGAAATTTTGACAAAGTTACAACAACAACAACAACAACATAGCTTTTTAGTCCCAAGCAAGTTGGGGTAGGCTAAAATTTTTTGGTAAAGTTAATTGGGTCAAAATGAAAACTGTAAGACGAATGTAGTGTACGGTTCTACCTGTTGTTCAGGAGACGTAGATGTAATTGTGAAAATCTTCAGTGGTATCAACAAATTTCATTATCCCCACCAACAAGAGGTGCAAAATGAAGAATGTTTGTAAACTCAAGGCTGGGTTTGTGTTTTATAGTATTTTAGATGTGTACTTCTATTTTCCTTAAAACCAGCCAAATCTCAATAGTAATTTTTGCAGCTGTCCATGTAGAAAACAGTGAAGGTTATTATCCAATCAGTGTATCATATTTTGTGCTGAAATTTGTGTTTTGTGTCTAAATTTGACAGCAATGGTCGGTGATTGGGAGGCTCCCATATCGAATAAAAACCACTTTAGCTGGATTTTGGGATGGCTATATATATTTCACATCTGGACAACGAGACAGAGGTCCTGACAATCCACAGCCAAGGAAAGTCGTGGGAGAAATGTGGAGAACCAAGCTGAGTTCAGTCATATGAGATGACTAACCAAACCCCCAATTTTCTCAATCTTTCATCCTCAATTTTTTATTTTTAACCACTGGTAGAGCTGCTGATTGTCTCGTTATACACTTTCAACATATACTTTCATTGTTGAGGGGAGTCTTTATTTAGTTTTTAGTTTTCACAACTGTTGGTCCGCAGCCTAACAGCAAAATTTGTATTTAATCATTGTGTGGGGAGTCTTTATTTAGTTTTTAGTTTTCACAACCACTGATGGGCAGATCTAGAGAAGTTTGAGTATAATTTTTGACACCTGAAATGGATGTTGTACATATTATGAGGCTCATACTTTTCCAGAAGAAAATCATCGTTTGTACATATTATGTTTCATTTTTCTTTTTCAATAATGGAGGTGAAATATGAATCTAAGCTGTAGTTGAGTTTAGAAATTGATTTTTTCTTTTTAAAAAAAAAAAAAAAGAACAAAGATGAATGAAAATTAATACTAAATTTAAAATATGAGAAAGATTGAGCTTTTGTTTGAAATTTTAAAAATGAGCAAACTTGTATTGCCCAATGTCAATAAACTTTTTTTCATTGTATAGATATTTTTTAGCTTTATACTGCAAAACTTATACTATGTAAAAAAAAAAAATATTTGTAAAGGTTGGTTATCTTTTGAACAGATAAATATAGATACTGTATGTAGCAAAGTTATATATCAGCTTATAATGTCCTAGTAAACTAGTGAATTGCACAGGGGTTTCGTATTTTAAAACATTTTTTTAAAAAATTATTTTAAAAATACATTAGTACGCTGACCCATTTATATTAATATAAATAATAATTATATATATATATATATTAATACAAAAAAAATAATAATTTTACATATTTTGGTTCATCATAATACTCAAGTATTATTTTATTAAAAAATTATTGTCATATAATGAAATTATTATTTATAACACGTATAGAAGTAATATTCTTTTTTTATACATTGGTAAATATTTAATGTATATTAATATTATTTATTGATGTAATTAATTTAAAAATATATAAGCAAATTAGATATTTGTTAGGAATGTGATTATATGCAAGTTAAGATAAAATGAAATGTATCCAAAAAATCTGCTTATGATATTTTCCTTTAAATGTTGGCATGAGTTTAAAATTTAAATTATAAATCAACCGTCAATTTTTCAAATAATTTAAAAAAAAAGTTACTAATTCTAGTACAATCTAAATTCTTAGGCGAGTTTTTACTTTCTACTTAAAGTAAATCTCTATTGCTATTTTATAGTAACTAGTACTGACCCGTGCGATGCACAGGATGGTATATTTATATGAATTTATTTTAATATTAACATTAAATTTAATGGACTTTGTAGATATGTAACACATATAAAATGAAAACAAACAAACTTAAAAACTTCATAAATTAGTAAACACTTCTTTGTACACAACGTTTTGGGTCTGATTTGGTGGCAAGTCATCGTCATTACAAACTAATATCTTCAACCTAATTCGATTGGTGACACGGGACATAGATATTAATTGCATCATTACCATATGGTATGTGTCTTTAATCAGAGTTGTGCTTTAAGCCAGAGCGTTAAACTTGAGACGGTTAGCGCTAGCATGTAAATTAATTAATATATTATCCCGCTAACACGTTTATACTAATTTGAATTTGATTATACTATATTTATTTATTCTTTGATATAAGAAAAAATAACAATTTTTCACTTATTCTTGTACACCACATAATATTTAGTTATTATTTTCTTATAAAATTTTTTGTCATATAATTTCATTATTATTATTTATAAATCTTATAGAAATAGTATTCTTCTTAATTTTTTTATATAATATTTAATGTACGTTAATATTATTTATTAATGTAATTAATGTATATTATGTAAATAAATTGTAAATAGAAAAACCTTTTACATGAGGTCACACAATTAGCAAAAACCTTTTCTTATTAACAAAAAATGCTCGACAAATGATCCGAAACAGCACAAAATTTAGGAATAATTATAAAAACTGCCGATAGAAGCTCAAGATTAATGACACAACCGCAACAAAATCTCTACTCCCAAATTCAAAACAAATACAGACTTTCCAAAAGTCAAGAGTAGTTCTTAAGTAAAAAAAAAAAAACACGCATATTCTTGTGTAGAACTATCTAACGGTTAGACATGGCTAAAAGGGTTGGGGCAATCATACTTTATTAATGTAAATTAAAAAGAAAATCATACTCTTTCGGTCAAATTGTGGCTATTGGTGGCCTGACTGCGACGGACCCGAACGTGGATATAATCGGGCTTTGGGATTTCGAATGTTTGCGAATCCTCCTTTGCCTTTGTAGAGGGCATTTTTGAGTTCTTTTTATTTGTAACAATTGTGAGCTTTTGCTGCTGTAATTTTGCTTTGTGATTTTAGAAACCTCTTATTTATTATACACTTTCATCCTTTTATCCCTCAATGAGGATTTTTCTGTCCCATTAACTTGAAAAAACCTCCAAAATTATACTCTTTTTTTCCTACTTTTTTTCTAAAAAAAAAATAACTCAAAGACCAACAAAATCCTCAAATTCAGCTAACCACAAAACAGAAATAACCAAAAGATTTTGAATTTCCAGCACATTTGGGAATTGAGATAATTATAAGAGTACTATTTTTAATCTAAGCACAAATTCACACCTTTTTTCCCATAAAAAAAATCACCAACCAACAAAATCTCCAAATTCAGCTAGGCACGAAACATAACACACCAAAAGAATTCTGAATTTCCAGCACATTGCAAAAGATTAAAGGGTGAATATCTGCTTAAAAAAAATGTTTCAGTCTTACACGATGTCGAGCCACAAGGTGCCACACGGTCTTAGTAATCAGGCAAACCTATTCATTGACCATTCAATTGTCAGCTAGACAAATCCTAGACGACAAAGATTACAGACTATCATTTCCGAATTCAATATAATAAAGAAAAGTAGAGGATGGAAGATAAAAACAGACAATTCAATCCATTTCTTGTATTCTCATTTATTCCGAAAAATCCAAAAGAATTGATGTATAATGATTTGTTGATAATCCACAAATACCGATGGACTGTGAACTATACTCCTTTTCAAAGTATGCCCGTTCGAGAAAGTATCCATACCCTTATCAATAACGATGGAGCTTCTGAAATTATACTGCCTTCTTTTTAAGCCAGTCGACAAAATTATCGAGAAGTAAAGTCCAAGCTTCGCATGTATCATAATTTCGAAGGTCCGGAAAGCTTATCTGCCAATAGTAACATGACACTTATTTGAAAAAAAAAAACTTCACACACAAAAAAAAAATGATAGTAAAATGGGAATTAAGAGCAATGAGAAAACCTCTTCACAAAACCGGAGAAAATTCTTCCACTGATCCATATTCATCACCTTGTAGTCACTCTGGATCTGATACCCAGATTTTCAATAAAAAAAAAAAGAAAAAGAAAAAAAGAATGTCAAGAAAGACATTCACAGTTATCCGAGGTTATACTACTTAAAATACGCTGATTTGAATCATTTAATATAGTTTTGGTTGCGTACCTTAAGAAATTGGATGAATGAATCAACTTGTGCCGGATATTGAAACCCTAATACCAGATCAATCAACATGAAGGTGCTCTCAATATCTAAACATTTCTGTTTTTCCTCTGAATTTTTTTAATAAACCAGCCGGATAAGAAAATAATCGAAGCATACACATTTACTCAGAAATGCAGATTTACAATATGTACAGACATACCTTTTAACAGTAGCGAAAGGCAAACAAATAGAAATCTTCAAAGTCTACTGACTTCAAGGCCTTCCCATCAACAAATCGAAAACAGTGAAGTCCACATTCAAAAGAATGATAAAATAATTAAAAATAATGAAGTTTGCAAAGGGGAAATACCTCTTTCTTCAATTCTGGCAGTGATTTCTTCAATTTTTTAATATTATCAACTCGAAGAGCTTTCAAGCCTCTTCTCCACTCATCCTAATGATCAAAAGATGATAACATGGAGAGAAACCAGAGCTTATGCAGTCTCCACATAATAAAAATAAAAGAACTGATAAACGTTAAATAAGACAGGGTTTACCTGGGTAAAATATCCCTGCTTTTGGGCGTCCATTTTCCTTTAGAACATGTGAAATTTGTGAAGGCTCAGTTCACAAGAAATTATTACACCATATATTCTTGAGATACTATTAACTTGTGACATATTTTTGTATCACATTATCACTTACCAAGCAAGAATCAAAATCTTGATATCATTGTAATCCACCTCAAGATCCGAACATAGTGCCTCGATCCCTTCTGGCCTGTGGAACTCAGTGAAGAAGAGAAAATATAGTCTTGTGTCATTCTTCGAATATTCTAAAATATTTCATTTTTCATTTTCATTAGATATAAAAGAATGTTACAAAATCATCTTCAAAATTGGGTATAACACAATTAGGAAACCTCATAAAATTGCAATGCTGCAATAATGATTCAAAAAGTTGAAGACGAACACGATTCAGTCGAACATCAAAACCCCAATTGAAATGAAGAAAAAACAAAAATAAACAAACAAAAAAGTTTTATTTTTTACTCATTGAACCAATTGCCCATAGCAGTAGCAGATTAGAATTTAGATTTGGTCAGATGAACTATTCAGAGACCATACAAACAAAATCACAAACAGAATGCTAAAGATCTTAAATTACCTGGAGAAGACGGCCTTAGTTGCGGCACTTGAAGAGAAACGACATCTGGTTAGGATAGGAGGTAATGGCGTTGCTCGAGATGCGGGCTCGGAGGAGGTCGGTGCAGAGAGACAAAGGAAACGACACGGTGTAGGAAAGTGCGCCGGGAAAGGATGGCGGTGGTGGTGAGTTCGTCGGCAGAGGGCGGCGAGATGCGGCGCTGCGCGGTGGTGGTGGAGGATTCTACTTCAGCAACTTCAAGATGTAGATCTTGTATACATGTTTATCTCATCCGATTTTTTGGAATGAATTTGTTAGGATAATTACTAAACACGATATTTAAATGACTTTCCGATTCTTTGGGTTTTTTAAACATGGAATCAAAATTTTTCAAATTGGTTTGTTAAAGATAGGGGCGTGATCCTTAAAATAAGGAGTAACAATTGGATGCTTAAAGATAGGGGCGTGAATCAAAATTCAAATTGCCGTGTTTAAAGAATTGCTATTAATTTTCGGATTTTTAAAAGACTTTCCACAAATGCTGGATAGTAAATGTAGTAAATAGAATCTCCTTTCATATAATTATAGATTGTATAATACGGAAATAGTAATGCAATAAATGTTGTTGACTTTTCTTTATACTAAATCTGGTAAATGGTATACCTTTTAATATAAGTATAGATTAAAGAAAACATATATTTGTCAATATTCTTTTATCTCAATTTTTTTTTTTAAATTATGCTACCAAATGCTTGGCTAATAATCAATTAATATAAGTTCATCTAAATATCAAATTCGGATTGGATATAAATGCTAACATATATGCAAAGTACTCGGAAAATGTTCAACCAAATATTTCAATCCACCATTTCTTAAGATTCTGTGAACAAATTTAATTGAATAAATAAAAATAAAAATAAAATTGAAAAGGGAAATGTTATTTTTGTCAAATAGAATTTTAGCACTGATTTCGGCCTCTTTTTTTTTGGAAAGATTTCAAATCAAATTAGCATTGATTGATTTTATTTTCATATTAAAAAAATTTGGCCAACTTTATACAATAAATTACTTTATTAATTTCTTCATATAGTAAATAGATTTTTTTTTTTTTGCGAGAAATAGTTACTATTTAAAAAATAATCAAATCTTTTTATATATATAAATATCCCTTGGGAGCACGGATTTGTATATATTAGTCATTGCCATAAATATAATAAAGCAATGAATAAATTATGTATTCATAATTGTTAATAGATAAATTATTTTTTTTGGTTATAATTATAAACCTTTTTGTTTAACTACTATTGTAACAAACATGTTATTTATCCTAACAGAGGAATAAGTTTTTTAGTGCACGAGTGCATTGTAATACATTTAAAAAATATAATGCTAGTTAAAATTACTTTTTCATCATATATATTATTTTTCATGAGGTGGAATAGTCTAATATCTAGTCCTCCCTTCTTTTTAAATTAGATGTCGTTTTGACTTTTTTGATTCATCCATTTTGCTATGTATCTAGACATATTTTAATGTCTAGATACGTAACAAAATGGATGAATCAAAAAAGTCAAAACGACATCTAATTTAAAAAGGAGGGAGTATATATGTATGTTTATTATCTCAAGGTTTACAAACTTTTATGGTTTTCAATTGAAGTATTAATAAAACGTTCAGAAATTATCCTGAATATGTAAAAATATTTATTATGCATGTATTTCAATTCAATAATTCATACAACATATATATTATGAGGCATAAGTAATTAAAATACAGTTTAGATTTGAAAGAATTTGTTAGGGGTGGGCGCGGTCCGATCCCATTTTTATGAACCGGTCCGGGATGAGGCACCGTTCCACATAGACCGGTATCGTTTGAGACCGGGACAAAACGGGACAAACATATAAACTAAACTAAAAAGTATTGATTCTATTAAAATTTAAAACAAACAACCAATATATTGATTCCATGTTTTCGATTAAAAAAAACATATTGATTCAAGTATTCACTTAGACCAAATTACCAAAGAGTATTGATTTCATTATAAGTAACTTACCAATCCAATAAATTTAAGTCACCACTCACCAACATCTAAGATCTAACATAAACATTATGTTGAAAACCAAATTACCAAATGTATTGTTTAATCTTTTTTTTCCCCCTTTTTTGGGCTTCATTGTTTAGTTTTGGCTTGGACAATTGAACTTTTTTTTATATATTATATTTACAAAATTAAAATTCTATTATAGATTGAATATCAAAATGACATATTGTTAATTATGTAATTGGTACAATAATATTAATATAAAATATAATAATAATGTATAATATATATAATGCACTCAAATAAGAATGATTCACATTGAAAGAAATAAGAATAAATATGAACCATCGGATGTGATAAATCCACGCACCAGATCTGGTCAACCCAGTTATTAAGAAACGGTGGCACATTTGTAAATATCATTAGTTACTTGATTGTTCTTCCTCTGCCAGTAGCCATCGACCAATGCCCTTCCACCGCACGCCACTATATTGAAATGAAAGTGTAATTGCGGTGTTAGATAAAGGGTGGTACTATTTACCGCCCCTATTTTACTACTCACCGCCCTTTTGGACGATTTTGTCTTTTTTATTTTTTCTAAACATCTCAGAGAAAAGTGTACGATGAATTGTCGTCAAATTCGGAGGTACGAATTTTTTTGTGTCCGGACGGCTTTTAGCCCTTCCGGCCGCCAGAACCGGACGGATCATAAGCCGTCCGGCCGAACTTTTCGGACGGGTTAAAAGCCGTCCGAAAGTTCGGCCGATCGGACGGGCTTTGACTGAACTGACCGGCCGGACGGCTTAAAAGCCGTCCGAAAACGACGGCCGGTCGGAACCGGTCCGTTCGATTCGACCGGCCGGACAATTTTTTTTTTTAAATTATTATGTTATATATTCGAAATAATTATGTTATAAATTAGACTACATTATTATGTTATAAATTATTATGTTACATTTTAGACTTGATTATGCTATAAATTGGACGTTTATCGTGTTAGGAGTTACAAATTATTATGTTACATGTTGATTATAATATAAATTGGACGTTAGATATTATCGTGTTACGAGTTAGAAATTATTATATTACATGTTAGTCTTGGTTATGTTATAAATTGAGGTTAGATAGTATCGTGTTAAGAGTAACAAATTATTATGTTACATGTTATAGTTGATTATATTATAAATTGGACGTTAGATATCATCCTGATCGTGTTAGGAGTTACAAATTATTGTGTTACATGTTAGACTTCATTATGCTATAAATTGGACGTTAGGTAATATCATGTTATGAGTTACAAATTATTATGTTACATGCTAGAATTAATTATCTTAATTTAACACGTTCTAAAAATATAAATATTGTACAATATAGCAGGAGTCATGGGAAGATTTTGGAGGAGATGGTGTTGATTACAGTCTGCGTTTCGATACCTGTACATTATTTAATAGTGCTCAGGACGCTATTGAAGCTGCAAAACACCAGGCAATGCTGAATGGTTTCCTATTAATAATTTCGAGCTGCAAAAAGAAAATTGTCAGACTTTTGAAGTGCCATAGAGGCGAACGGTACAGAGGCACAGGCGGAAATTCTAGAAAGACAAAAACGAATAAGTGCGGCTGCAATTTTGAGATCAAAGTAAAAAAAGTGTCCGGCGCTCCATACTGGAGGATCTGTAGATGTAGCAATGAAGAGAAGGGCTACCATAACCATACATTTGCTGTGTATCCTGAGGGTCATCGCCAATTGAGCGGCCTCAGCGCTTCATCTAAGAAAATTGTTCGTGATATGACGGACGCTCAGGTGGCCCCGACAAAAATTATGGTCGCGCTGAAGGAAAAGAATCCGGGAGACAACGTTCATGGTGCAACAGGTATATATATTTATATCTTCTAATATATGTTTTAATTAACTTTTTGAAGTTAATTATGATAATTAGTAATTTTTTATATGTAAAAGTTATTGTAATAATTAATAAATTTTGTTATATTTACTAATGTATTATTATTGTGATAGTTAATAATTTTTTTATCAAATTAATCGCATTAATATACTTTTTTATTTATTAAGATAATAATTTTTTTGTTTTAAATTATAATAATCATTATTATTAACGCTAATCGGTGACAGGTATATAACTTTAGAGATAAGCTGCGGAGAGAGAGTTCCGACGGTAGAGACGTTCCTTCCCAGCTTATGCATTTGGCCGTGAGCAGCGAGTATACAGTTTATGCAGAATCCGATCCGAACACGAATGCGTTGACACATATATTCATGGCCCATCCTGCGTCGATCAATCTATTCCGGACATATCACTGGTATGTTGGCATAGATTCCACGTATAAAACCAACAGATATGTTACTTTATAAATACTTTATTAGTATGAATCTTAAATAGTGTGTTTGATTAAGTAAATTTTTATTTTATTATATTTTTTGTCTTCTTGGTCTCATTTGCACAGGTACAAGATGCCATTGGTCGAGATAATTGGGATGACGCCGTGCAACCAGAACTTCCTAATTGCGTATGCGCTCATCAGGGATGAGAAAGAGGCCAGTTACGACTGGGTGCTAGAGAAGTTGAGACTACTGATAGGCCAAGACGTATATCCTTATGTTGTTGTCAGTGACAGAGAGTTGGGTTAACTCACTCCTATTCAGAGGCATTTTCTTGAATCAGCCCACTTACTCTACACGTGGCACATCAATAAGGATGTGGAAGCCAGAGCCTACAAACTATTTGGGAAGAATAAAAAATTCTCAGAGATTTTCACGCACAGTACGTGGAAGGCGATTGCAGAGGCCAGTACGTTCGATGCCTAAACCGATGCCGTTTTCGAGCTGCACGTAAAATATTCGAAGTCTCCAGAGGTGATACGGTATGTGGAGGGCACATGGTTAGGGCACCGCGAGAAGTTTGTGAAGGCTTGGACCAACCGAGTGACACATTTTGGAAACACAACTTCCTGTAGGGTGGAGAATGCACATTCTGTGTTGAAGGAGTGGCTTCAGACATCCACCGGCGCGCTCGATACAATTTGGCAGAAGATTAATAAGCACATCGATAATCGAGTGACTGAAATCAAGTACGTACTGCAATTTTTAAATGCGTTATTATATTACTGCATTAATTAACTATAATCTAACGTTATGTAACGTATTATCAGGACGGAGCTTGAGGCCTCGAGATCTAAGAAGAATACACATTATAAGAATCCTTTTCGCGAGCGTGATACTGAGGGTCTCGCTTTACTTTCTGAGTTTATTGGACGCTGAGCTTACGAGGATGATCGACTTGGACGCCGATGTTTACACTAGCTGCGGCTGTGTATTGCAGTTCACTCATGGACTTTCTTGTGCCTGTCTGCTCCGTAACGCAGTTGATTTCGACATTCCGATTGATCTCGGAATAATTCACCAGTTCTGGAGAACGCTACAGATATTAGAGCCAGGTAATTTAAGGTTACTGTTTTATTTATAATTTTTTATTAAAACACATTATTTGGTTTAATTCATTGACTCTTTTATCATATACTTGTAGGGACTGGTCATCAGAGCCACGCGAGCCAGGCTGCATGGTCAGATGCGGAGTTCTTTCAGACGCTTGTGAGTGAGGTTGAAACCCGCAATCCCGCGACGATGCGGTACGTGAATCAGTTCATGTACACTCATCTTTACCCAGACCAACAGGATTATGCGGAACCTGAGGTTAAGGATGACCCGCGAGGTCGTCCTAAGAAAACTAATTTAACTAAGCATAAACCATCTGCTTTTGAGTACAACGATAGATCGCGAGGTCGGACATCGAGCCGTACGACCACTTCTTTGCGTGGACAGACAAGTTCGTCTTCTCAACAGTCACAAGGGGAAGCAGGTCATACATTTTATTTTATTTTTAAATATGGCTGAGCGTTAATTAAGGTATTTATATGATTATATAAATTGTGACATGAAATTATTATGATATTTATTGCAGAGTTTAGACCGACAAATATATTTGGATTTTCAATGTGGCAATCAATCCCCTGGCATATGTTGGACTACATAGTGAGTTACCTGAATGTGGATGCGGATGGTAACTGCGGATTTCGTGTCATCGCGAGTCACATGTATGGTCACCAGAAGTACTGGGCAGAAGCAAGAGAAAGCATTGCGAAGGAGGTCGACAACCACTCTGAATTGTACGAGTACATCTATTTTAGAGATATCGAGGCCGGACTCCGTCGCATAAGGTGGGGCAAGGGCCCTTGTGGACGGACTCACTGGTTTGAAGTTCTGCAGGACCTCTATGCTGTTCGACCCTATTTAATGTGGTTTTCATTCATTTGAGCTCTGGTGCACAAGGTGGGCAGCACGACTTATTCAGCATCACAGTGTTGCCTCTCACTGCACGATCATCGGCTAGAGGACCATGTTGTGAGATTGCCATTTGCCATCTTGGTACCGTAGCACACTACATTCGTTTAGATTTGACTGATGATTGTCCATTACCGCCTATTCTTCCATGTGGTTCCGTTACCGAGATCAATCGGTTGTGGGTTCGGAGGATCAGTACGAGTCTAGGTTGCGATTGTGGTATACTGTTCAAACAAAACCTTCTTGAATAAAAGAACGATATTATTCACTTGTGGTGTGACGCTTCTCATTCAACTTAAGTTTAGCAAATAAAAAAAATCTCATTCAACTTACTTAAGTTTAGCAAAAAAAAAAAACATTAATTTGAATGATTAATGTACTAAAAATGACAAAAAAAGTACCATTAATGCGATTTCGATTGCCCTGTAACACGAACGATTTCGATCGTCGACTCAGGAGAACGAGCTTGTCTCGAGCGCAGGAACATACGTTCGTGTTACAGAGCAATCGAAATCGCATTAATGGTACTTTTTTTTTCATTTTCAATATAAACCATTCAACTTAATGTTTTACAAATAAAAAAAAATAAAAATCATTCAACTTAATGTTTTACAATAATAATTAAAAAAAAAAAAACATTCATTACATCATTATTGGGCATTGTCATAATCCAACTTAAACTTAGCAAAATCTTCTTCGATTTGCGCCGCCTCCGGACATTCAACAAGAAACTGCTGCATGGTCGATGTAATGCCCAAAAGACGGTCCACCCACTAAAAAAATGGAAGAATAAAAAGATAAAGACTAAAATTTATTAAAAAAAATTATTGTGATGAAATAACATTAATTAAAATTTAGTAACCAACTTACATAGGCGGTATTGACACGCGTTGGGATCTTGTTCTCGTCCGGCAGCTCCTTGCCCATGAGAGTCGGATGGAAAACCCGACTATACCACTGCAAGTAATCCTCAGTCGCCTCCCCGCGATCCTGTGTGGTGGGGGTCAACATACCAGTGTTGACCGTCCCAGAAATCGAGAATTGGGTCCAGGCACCTACTGCAGCAGCCTCAGAATGCTCAACCTTGTAGTTCCTAGACTCCC